AAGACCAAATATTTCACAGTACTTCTTGGTGCTTCTGTTTCCTTAAGTGAAGAATATTTAACAGGGTGCGCTCGGAGAAACCTTCCAGCTTTAACTTTCCCTCATTCTGTTTTAAACAATAGACCTTCATCTACAACTAAACAAATATTAAAAAAAACAATAGACCTGCTTATCATGCTCTCATTTAATCTAAATATAATTAATGTTCCACACCTAACAAGGTGTCCATAATGTATGATAACAGGAGTATGGAGACACTCCGGTTTCTAGATGTGAGAACAGGCATAAGTAAAGGGAAATATTTTGATTTACTCTTTATCACAACAGTGCCTATAGCCACAGGAAAAATGAAAACAAAGGAAAAAATATGGTTTACAAAATATAGTTTTTTGAATAAACTTTAGCACCTCTCAAATTTTAACTTAGATAATACACCCTATTTAGAGAATTCACTTTTAGTTTGCAATATTATTTGCCTTTATGCTCTTGGGAAATAGCAGATTTTATTTGTATAATGTTTCTGAAGCATCCATTAAATATTATTTATCTGAATCAATAGGTTAAGAGTACCTGAATTAATAGGTTTAGAGCATCTGAGTCAACAATGAATTTTATAATGATCAGTCTAACACACATGCATTTACTTATGGAGACAAAATATGGGATAAAAATTATAATCTGACTAAATAGAAAAGAGAACATAGAAGCATAAACATAAATAAAAGGATGCCGAGGAGTTATACACAAAGTCCTGGAAAACAGGGAATCTGATTCTTCTTTCCCTATCTACATAATGCTATACATTTGTAAATTGAATCTGTATTGGATACTAACTTTTCATACCACTAAATGTACTAAAATTTTTCTTATTTTGGAGATCTGAAAAAATTCAGTTTTTCAATTTTTTCTGTTTTACTTTGAGCTCAATGAAAATAACTTTAAAAGAGTTACTGTTACCCTTATTTTTCTTCTCTCTTAATTGCTCCAATCTAAGGCCATTTCCTTTCTAAATATTAATCTATTGATATTTACCTATTAATATCACATTTATAGGAAACAAAGAGCTTCTCCTTTCTTTCCTGTTTTGCATGTGCTTTCTAATGCGTCTTATCAGTCTTATGATCAGCATTAATTCATATAACATATTTATTGAGCCCTCACCATGTGCCAGACACAATCGGATGACAGGGTAAAAGAAGACATACATGATCCCCATGCCTGTGTAAATTTTTAGTCTAGTATAATATACAGATTGGCAGGATGAAGTATAACAAGGAATTAAAGTTTAGTTCTTCTCATAGAACATTGCTTTTTGTCCAAACCCATTATAACCTGTGATTGTTCGTTTAAAGCAAATAAAGAAATCTTGCTTTTTCTGTCCTGTTGTCTTTGGTGGAAAAAAAGGTGAAATCTCTCTTGGCTATTGAATATATCTGCCTTCCCTGTCCATTATCACAGAAATATAAAACTGAAGTAAAAATTTCCGTATCATTTATTTAAATTAAAAGCTGTGAAAGATAATTTTAATGTTTATCCCTGATTGACCTAAGCCAGCTACACACTATCATTTCTACAGCAGTATGTCACTATAGGGGTGGTTCTCTTGCAGTTAGTTGTTTGCTATAGGGATGAGTTGGGGCTTGGCTCCTTTAAAGGTTTTGTCACAAACCTGGAGAGAAAAGGTATACTATAGCATTTTATAATTGATAGTAAATGGCTTCTTGTATTCCAGATTAGACTTGTATTTAACTTTTTGCTTTTAAAAGACAGAGTCTTCCTATGTTGCCTAGGCTAACCTTGAACTCCTTGGCTCACGTATTCTCACCTCAGCCTCCTGAGTATCTGGGACTACAGGCATGCACCACTGCACCTGGATATTTGTGTTTAATTTTGACAAAGCACTACCAGAATCCTTAATTAACAATAGGATTTCAGTGATATTTCTCTGGGGGAACTTTTAGCTTAATGTTCTGTGTACTTTTTTTTTTTTTTAACAAGGTGCTAATGTGGAGGAGCTATCATAGAACAATGAAGGAGTTAAGAGCAGGACTGTGGAGCTTCCTCCTGCATTTTTCATGTATTAGTACCCTGACTCTGAGCAAATTGCTTAACTTCTCTCTGCCTCAAATATACCATATTTAAGTGGGATTGATGATAATAGCAAGCACCTCCTTAGATTGTTGTGAAGATCCAATGAGTAATGTATGTTCAGTGCTTAGGTCAGTGCCTGCTACCTAGTAAGTACCTATTATTATTATTAGTCAGTGATGTTTAAACTTGGAAAGTTTTTTTTCTAGATGCTTTTAGTTAATTACTGCCAAAAGTTCTAGAGTTTTAAATTTCACCTTTCCCTTATTATTGTTTTTAAAATAATTTTTTATTTTTATTGACCTAATAATTGTACCATTTGGGAGTATAGTTCAGTGGTAGAGTATATCAACATGTATGAGGTCCTGGATTCAATTTGTAGCACCATGAAGAAAAATTTGTATGAATTTATGGAGTAGAGTGTGATATTTTAATACATGTATACAGTGTATGATGATCATATAAGATTAATTGGCATACACAGTCCCTCAAACATTTATAATTTCATTGTGTTAGGAACATTAAAGATCCTCTCTACCAGCTATTTTGAAATATACAATTGATTGTTGTCAAAAATAGTTACCCTACTGTGCTACTGAAACACTATAAGTTACTCCTCCTATCCAACCTCATGGCCTTAACTGTCTTTAATGTTTCTCATATTACAATGGGAAGATAATTGGTGATTTTCTGTTGAAGGTTGCCATTTGGTACATGATTCCCAGATTAACATGTTGAAGCTTAATCCTCAATGGATGGTATTAGAGATGGGGCCTTTGGGAGATAATTAAGGTTAGATGAAATTATGAGGGTTGGGTCCTGATCTGATGGGATTGGTGGTCTTGTAAGAAGAAGCACCAGAGAGCTAGGACCAGAGAGCTGGCTGGATGGCTTGTTTACTTCCTCCTTATTTTTGTCTCAATGCACCCATGGCTTGCCTTCCTCCCAGACTCATACCTGGTCACTTTTTCATTTTGTACCTCATTTTGCACCACCTCACCCTTTCAATGGCATGGCCTCCCTGGTCTTTAGTCAGTGCGTCCACTCTACTGCCCAGCACAGGCACTAACATGGGCAGTCCTCCCTGCTGCAGCTTCATGTGCCATCACCCCCTCACCTTTCTAATCTCTATGAAAATTATTGATCCAAGACGAAGTTCCTCTGTCACACCTGGACAAAATTCAGAGCTGGGAAAGCTGGGAGCTCATGCTCGCTCAGCCTGTCTGAGATAAGAACTATTTCAAGGACTTCTTCAGGAAAAAAAGCAAAAAAACAAAACACCAGAAAACCTCCATACACAACATGCTTGACATAGCTCACACACAGACACACATTTCTGTAACAGAGTTTAATCTTTAACATTCTCTTAGACTACAATTCAGACAAGATGCTTTCCCCGCAATGGTATCTCTACCAATAAGACTTCAGCTCCTGCCACTGGTCTAGAAAGAAGACCAATAGACTTTGTATCTGAGCAGCTTACATGATTTTTTCCCTTTTTGCCAGTAAAATATTTTCTTATCTTTTCCTCTTTGGTTACACCTTTGGCTTGCCATGCTGTGCATTCCAGATTAAAAGCCTTTTACTCATTCCTGAATGTATAAATTTTTTATACTTGGAGAAGGAAGAAGTAAACAAAAATGTTTAAATCACTGTAGCAAAAAGATCAAAGGGAAAACCAGAGGGTGCAGTGATAGAAAGCAAGGAAAGAGTGTTTCCAGCGACCCCTGCAGGCAACTAAGTTAAACACCAGTCAATAATTAAGACCAAAAAGTGTACAGCATATGGCAGTTTGAAGACCAATGTCTTGGTGCAAAAGTTACATAGGAACTTTCAATGCTCTGCTGCTTTTCCAATTGTGATTTTAACATTGTTGTTATTGTGTTATTTTATCTCTATGTCTGTATGTAAACGAGATGTACTTATGTGCAAGATATTTATTAAACAATAATATGTAGCTATTGTTTTTTAGTTTTTGTCTAAAGCTTAATTTTATATTGCTTTTGGTGCACATTAGCTTTTTAATATAAATTATATTTTTCTTATGACTCTCCCATTATACTTTTACTTAGAAATTACATAAATATTAATCTTTATGCTATTTCTCAAATGTTTATGGTTTAACTAGAAATGTTTAAAAATCATTGGTAGAGTAGCAAGCAATTAAACTGGTCCTTGGATGTTCTATTTAATATTTTAACCAATGGATTCTGCTCCTTCATTGTAGAGAAAAATCTTTTTTTTTCTGAAACTCTTTTTTTTATTATTAGTTGTTCAAAACATTACAAAGCTCTTGACATATCATATTTCATACAGTTGATTCAAGTGGGTTATGAACTCCCATTTATACCCCGTATACAGATTGCAGAATCACATCGGTTACACATCTACGTTTTTACATACTGCCATACTAGTGTCTGTTGTATTCTGCTGCCTTTCCTATCCTCTACTATCCCCCCTCTCCTCCCCTCCCTTCCCCTCCCATCTTCTCTCTCTACCCCATCTACTGTAATTTTTCTCTCTCTTGTTTTTTCCCTTTCCCCTCACTTCCTCTTATATGTAATTTTGTATAACAATGAGGGTCTCCTTCTATTTCCATGCAATTTCCTTTCTCTCTCCCTTTCCCTCCCACCTCTCATCCCTGTTTAATGGTGATCTTCTTCTCATGCTCTTCCACCCTACTCTGTTTTTAGTTGCCCTCCTTATATCAAAGAAGACATTTGGCATTTGTTTTTTAGGGATTGGCTAGCTTCACTTAGCATAATCTGCTCTAATGCCATCTAATGCGATCAAGAAGATAAAATTTCAGTTAAATATTAGAAATGTTTATTAGTAGTTTATGGGCATCTTGTGTCTGTGCTAATATTGTACATTCTCTTTATGTTACAAAAATTTTAATTTTATATCCCCAGTTTCCTATGCTTCCCAGAATGACATCATGTGACCACCAACCTCGAAGGCATTCTCATGAGGATCAGGAATTCCGAAACTGTGCTCACATGCGATATTACAGGAAATGCTCAGTGGATGGGTCACTCAAGGAGTCACTGGAATCAAAAGGAAGCTCTCATTCCAAAATTCAGGAGTTTTCAGAGTCCTTTGAACAGCAACTGCGCTTTAAAACCAAACACTCTGTCTCTCTGGTATGTAACTGAGCTAGTACACATTTAAGCCCCTTGGGAAAGAAAACCCAGAGGTTTTGTCATCCTCAAGTTTGAGGAGCACAAATTTAACTTCTCCATTTACAGCTTGGTAATAAGATCAATGAAAACAACACTGAGTTTATTACAACTAATCTAAAATTAAATATTTTATTTTATGTCAATTTTAAGGAGCATATTATAAAATTTTTGTAATGTAAAATTAAAAATTCAAAACGTAGATTTTTAAAAAAATTTTCCACTGTAACAATCCACACACTTTTCTAAAGCTAGCTACAATAAACAGTGGGTTTTTTCAGCAAATTTTAAAATGTATATAAAGTATTCCCTAAGGTATTATCTCTAGCATCCCACACAAAGGGTACCAAAATTTATGAATGTTAAAGTCCCTTATGCAACATGGAGTATTATTTGCATATAACCTCCATACACTTTACATTCATATATTTTACATTTTCCCATTTACTTTTAAATTATCTCTAATTTTCTTATAATACTTTATACAATGTAAACAATAGATAAATAGTTATTATAGTATATTGATTAGGGAATAATGACAAGAAAAAGAAGGTGTATATTATATATTCAGTACAAACACCATTTTGTTTCCTGGTTATTTTTCATCCTCAGTTGGTTGAATCCACAGATATTAGCCCCACAGGTAGGGAAGATTGGCTGTATCATTTTTTGTTTGGGGACCAAATGAATACTAATGTGTTGGTTTAAATTTCACATATTTGAACATTGAAAGAGCCAGAAACTGCTTTTGTGGCCTAATCATGACAAACAATATTAATTCTTTCACCTCAGTATTTAGAAATTCAATTGACTTATTTTTCTTATAACTTTCTGATTTTCTAAGTGATGAAATGAGGAAGTAAATTTCAAATCATTATTAATAAGTATATCTTGCATAGTGTTTATTCTTAATAAGGTAAAGACCAAATTTGAAACAATATTCACTATACTGTTTTTTGTACTGTTCTGACCAGCATTAGAAACATTTATAACTGCTAAACATGAATTTTGATCAGATAAATACAAGTGATGGGTCTATGAAAATCATCTGGCAGCACATGTACAGAACTAGTACAGTTTTTAAAGTTTCTTTTAACTTCTATCTAAGCGTCTTTGTTTTGCTTTCTGACTTCAATCAATGAATGGTTATGGATGGAATGAGACAATCTAGGTATAAGAAACAGTTTACACCATGGAGTAGCAGACACTATTGTGGTAATAAGACACCTCCACAATGTTCAGCCTGTAGGGCTGAGTTCTGCCACATGACCACCACTCATCACTGGATCCCTAATGTTTACAGTTCAAATAAGGGGGAGGAGAAGGGATTTTATCTGTTTATTTTTTTAAAAATAGAAGCATACATAGATACCATTACCATGTTTATGCATGTTATTTTTGCACAGTAATTCCTTTCAAAGAAATTCCCTGACCATCAACACTGAAGAATCTCCCCTTCTTGGGGCTAGGGTTGTAGCTCAGTGGTAAAGCACTTGTCTAGCACATGTTGGGCACTGGGTTCAATCCTCAGCACCACATAAAAATAATGAAGAAAATAATAGAGGTATTGTGTCTATCTACAACTAAAACTTTTTTAAAAAAGAATCTCCCCTTCTTCATAGTTCCCTACTATATATCACCGTCACCTGTTGTAGTTACAATTTTATTTATCATCATTGTTTACTTCCTTTTAGCCTTATTTACTGATGGTCTATCTACCCCCCCACAGGTGGAATATCTAGAAGGTAAAGTCTCTTCATTTAGTACTTTATCTCCTAATCTTACAACAACACTGTGTGTTCAATACATCAGTGAATAAATGTGGACCACCCGCCCCCGGCCTCCACCTATCCCACTTGGGCAACTTACTGGGGAATGCTAACATGGTTGGAAGTTATTTCTCAATACTTCGTTTTTTCACACAGTTCTCACATTAAAATTTAGTGCAAACTCTAATATTAATATAAGGTAATGAACACAGGGAAGTTAGAATCATTCTATATGTGATCTTGTTTTCCTTATCCAAAAACGCCAGGAGACTTAATTTAACTGTACTGTACGTTCTTTAGCTTTGGTATGTTAGAGCACAAGAGTCATGGTCATGTGCAGGTTGGCATCCTTCTCAGACCAGCAGTGATGCCCAGGACCCTGTATTCCTTCTCTTTATGACTAAAACCTTTGGCAATATGATGATTTGGGGTTATGCTGATTTATTACTAGAAACTAAGAACTGGACATTGGCTACAGGGCAGGGCTTTCCTCATGTCTGGTGGTTGGGAGCAATGGGAGGCACAGAGCTTCTGGTGCATCTCTCCCCTTTCCTGACCCTTCTCTTTCAGGGACCTGAGAGCAGAAAGGAAAGAAATGAGAGAGAATGTCTGAGGATGGAGATAAGATCCCGCAAGAAGGTGGAAGAAGGAAGGAGCTCAGCCAAGGAAGAACCCCGAGAGGTATCCATGGCCTCTCTGGTTGAAAAAGGGCCGGAATAGTTCTTTATTTTTATGTTGTGATGACGGGCGCCACTGGTTGTTTTGGGCCCAGTTCACCATTCCAGGAGGGCAGGATGGCAGCTGCAAAAGGGCATCCCAGATGCTGAGTGACAGAGGTGGGCGGTTGGAATGGGGCTCCTCAAGACGACTTGCGTCACCCTCCAACTGCTTCTGGCATCTTGCTGGAGTGTAATCTGCTTTCTTGCCTTTTCATGGGAATAAAAGAATAAAAGGTATTTTAATAGAGTAAAGTAATTTCGGAAAATGCAAACGAAGATTTTTAAATAGCTACCCACACATCTTTACCAACTCTTCTTCCATGACAACCTCGCAATTCATCTTAAATAAAAGTCATTGGTGTGACTCTTTAGATTTACTTCCTTTTAGAAGTAATTATGTAAGAATGTCTAATAGCCATCATTTAACCAGAACTGGTAATTACCATGCCAAGTATTATCCTGAATGCTTTAATATATTACCTAAAATAATCTTTTCTACCCTGAAGTAGAACCTTGTGTTATTCAGGGTTCTGCAGAGAGGCAGGACCCAAAGGATATACAGAGTGAACTATATGAGATGGATACATTTGGGGAATTGGCTCACATGGCTATAGAGGCTGAGAAGTGTCATGAAGGACTGTCTGTAAGCCAGAGAACCAGGGAAGTCAGTAGTGTGGCTCAGGCCAAGTCCAAAGGCCTCAGAACCAGAGAAGTTGCTGGTCTAACTTCTTACTCTAAGACCAAAGGCATGAGAACCTATGGCTGTTGAAGATAGTGCAGGTGTAGGTCTTTGAGTTCAAAGACTGGTGAACATGGAGTTTTGATGTCCAAGGGCTTGAGAAGAGAACTGTCCCAGTGAGACAGGGGGAGGGAGGGAGAAGAGGATATTTGCCTTTTTGTTCATCTGAGCCTCAAACAATTGGATGGTGTCCACTCAGATTGAGTGAGGGTAGATCCTCCCTACTTCCAGTGGCTCAAATGCCAATGTCTTTCAGAAACACCTGCATGGATACCCTCAGAAGTAATGCTTTGCTCGGATTTGAGTATTCTTCAATTCAGTCAATTTAACACTAAATAATATTTAGTTAGTTAATACTATCACAGATAACTTTTCTCTTTACTTTCTGCTTGAGGAAATTGCAGTATAGAAAAGTTCTGTAGCTTCCAGTTATGTTGGCAAGGTGAGGGCCTGAGTCATTCATTTACTTTGATGGCAGAACTCATGCTCCTCACACAGGACCTCCATTTCTCTTTAGAAGTGGGTCTGACTTAGTGTGTAATGTGCCTGTGAATGATGAGATCTTAGTGGGTAGGTTACAGTTTTGAATACATGGGTGAAGACTGAGTACTTGAGGTCAGCTTTATACTCTAGATTTTAACTTTTTAAGACTATATTCTATCACCATTCTACTCACCCCTCACAAAAAATGGACTGGAACTCTAATACTTAACCTGTTTATTCTTTGTCTCTATCTTGGATCTTCAAACGCCCATGTGCAACTAGGTTTTCCATTTTGTGAAGAAGAAAATCTCCCACATATATTACTTAAACTAGTATTGTAATTGACTGCTACTGTAAGATATCTTTATATAGACAATAGAAGGAAGAGAGAAAAGGGAAAGTCTTAAGGGGAAAATAGTGCAATAAAACTAAAATAGCAACTACCTTGATTGGAATAATTTTGATTTCTATATAGCCTACACCTGCATCCTTTCTGGACTGATATGTCCATGTGACCTTCTTAATACAGTATTACGCTTTTTTCATACATATAATGAAAGATGAGTGAAGGCTATGATATAGTGACTTTGCCTATCCATTGCCACTACTGACTGGGAGGATAGGAGGGGTCCTCTCTGTGCATAAGTCATGCATAGGAGAGTAGTTTCCCTGGCTTTGAGTACTTTGAAGTCTTGTCAAACAAGTTTCGATTCTGGGGGGGCAGTTTGCTCATCTCCTTTTGTTTCTGAAGAGATGTGGGGAGAGATGACCCACACATTGGGAAAGTTAGAAGCCTAGATGAATCATTTTGGCCTAGTGGATGGCTGACTGAGTCAGTAGCTGCCTCCTACTCCAGCCAGGATATCTGGATGCCTGGATTCTTCCCATTTGTAGACTCACGGAAAAATCATGATTAGGAATTTTACAAATGTTTCATCAAACTGGAATGAAGTCATTTTCAACACATGTTCAAGACCATAGTATGTGGAAGTGGTGGACTCCCCGAAAATGAAATTTCTAGTTTTTTTTTCATTTTTGTATCATAAGACACAGCCTCTTGCAATAAAAAATACTGAGTAATAAAAATAATAAGAAACAAAAAGAATTTCTGTTAGTCTACCTACTTAGAGATAAATGTGGTTAATATCTTAGTGTATGTTCTTCCGGAATGTTATCTATGTGTTCACATGTACATACTTCTACATAAAACACTTTTTTCAATCATGTCTCTTTTTTTAAAATCATGTCTCTTTTTAGTTAATACACGATTAACATCTTTTCAGATCAATGAAATTGTTTATTGAAGAATTTCTATGGCTCCTTTTCAATAGCTTCTGACATCATAAAAACCTTTCCTCATACCAGTAGGTATTATCCTTTTCATGCTAGACGTGACCACCTTAGCTGTCTTCCCTCAAAAAAAAACAAAAAACAACCCCCCCAAAAAAACAACAACACAACAAAGCAAAACAAAAACAAAAACAAAACAAAAAACAACTTGAGGATTTATCTACATTAACCCATCTTTTCTTTTTTCTTTGTTTTTTTTTTTTTTTTCATTTTGGTGCTGGGAATTGAAAAATTCTATCTAGGCAGACATTCTATCACTGAAGTACAACCTAGCCCACCCAGTCAATTTTAAGTCTGCTGCAATATGATTTCTGTCCTTACCCTCTGTAGAGATTGTTCTTTTCAAAGCCAGTCATGACCTCCTTACTGTCAAGTTTTATGAAAACATCACTGTATTTTTTTTTGCTTGATTTTCTGGAAGCATTAGACTTAGTTGACCTCTTCTTGAAGTTCTTTCTTTGGTTGTTGACAATTATATTCTTCTGTGTTTCCTTGTGCCTCTCTGATCCCTCTTGGTCTTTGGTTAGGATCCTTATACCTTAAGTAGTAATTTTCTTTTGGTCTCTGCCTCAGCACTTGTCTTACTCTCTTCATTCTCTCTCATCAATCTCAAAATTTCCCGTGGGGTAAGCTACATATGTATTCATGACTCCCATCTACCCCTCTGATGTAGAATCTCTCATGAGCATGAGGCTCATAAATTAACTGTCCCTTGAACATATTATCAGTCGCAGGTTTCATGGAATCTCAAACTCATCTTTTAAAAGCAAGCTTTTATTCCTTGCTGTATTGGTCAGATTTCTATCACTGTGACAAAATGTCTGCAACAGAGAGTGGAAACTATTATTTTAAACTCACCATTTCAGAGGTTTCAGGCCATGGTTGCTTGGCCCTGTCACTTTGGGCCTGTGGGAGGTAGGACATTAAAGTGGGAAGCATATGGCAGAATAAACTTCTCACTCTATGGCGGCTGCGAAGTAGAGAGAGAAAGGAGCAGGGTGGGTGGGTGGGGTGTCCTAATATACCCTCATGCACATGTTTCCAGTGACCTACTAACTCCAACTGACCCCACTTCTTAAAGTTTCTACCACCTCCAATAGTGTCTCCAGCTATGAATCAAGCCTTCAATTCATGAGTCCAGATTCAAAGTCTCACACTTGCCCCGGGTCTGTTCTCTATCTATGTTCCCTATTTTCATGTATGCATCACTTAATGATATCTCAAATATGCACCTATTTGGGTTTAAAATCACTTTCACTCCTCTGATTTTACATCCAACTAATCATCACTCCTGCCTATTTTTCATCTAAATGTCACTCAGATTTACCCAGTTCCATCCATTCTCATAGCTACTAGGTGATTTTAGGTCCTTGACATCTCACTTTGGTTTTGATAAAATAAACAATATTTTTATATAACTCAAATATATTATTAAAATTAATTTCATCTTTTTTCTTTGATGAAGGAGACCATTATAAAATTATTAATTGCATATGTATCTCATTTCAACCAGGCAGCAGTAATCTATATGCTAGGTAACTCTTAAGCCTCTTTTTTTAGGTCTCTTGAATTTTACTTTTTAAGTTTTATTTACCTTAAAATGTATTGTAATTTAATTAATTCAAGGTGTTATTTGGGGTTAATTGGCCTACTTCTAGTTACAAATTTTAAGTAAAGTTTATTATAACTGAATTTGTCCTTCTCTTGCCCTTCTTCTCACCCTTCCTTTCTTCTCCAAATAAAAATGTTCTTGGTTGGTAGAGTGCTTGCCTAGCATGCACAAGGCTTGCACAATCCCCAGCACCACACACACACACACACACACACACACACACACACAAATGTTCACATGTTCATGTTCTCTCCTGTGATGCAGTTTACCTCATGCAGGTTTCATCATATAGTGCAACAGTTTCCTAACATGTCTGTCTTCCCATCTAGGCTGTGAATTCTTAAGTGGCAGAGACTAAATATTAATTATGTTTGCGTTCCCTCAACTCAAAAGGTGTTTATTGCATAGTACTAGCTCAATAGTTTGAGGGTGTGACTGTAAAGAACCAGAGCCCTAAAATTTGAATTCATTTTATTTTAGGCAAGACACTGTCATATATTACTTAGGATCTAGTTAATATTTTATCTTAAAATGCAAACCGTTTTTATTTATAAAAGGAGTATTCAATCCATATTCAAATAATGCAGAAGTATGCAAAAATAAAAAATGACAGACCCCCAGAAAAGTCAAGCGTGGGAATTATGAACTTCATTCAGTTCAGCATTACTGTCACAGCAGTCTGGTTACCCTAGATGGCAGTCTTGAGCTGTTGTTTGGACAGGTAATGCAGGACTAGCCTCAGTGCTTGCCAAAGACAAAATCATTATCATTGTTTTCAAATTGAAAGTAGCAATTCATATTAAAATCCTTAGAGGTAGATTAAGCAAATGAAAGTTTGATAATTTTATGACTTATCAATGCATTTAAAGGTATGCATGAAGAAAGATGTCAAGCTGGTTATCTCTATTGGGCACAAAAAGACAAGATATTAAAATACTGCGCAGATAGTTGACATTTTATAACAATGGGTAATTTTAGACTGGCAAAGGGAAGGACTGTAAGTTCCAAGTTTGTGTTTTGGGTTTTTTTTTTTTCCTTTTTACTCAGACGGGTTATGTGCTGACATCATAACAGTTTAGAGGGAGGCACATATCACACAATGGTGTGAACACCCAATAATCATGCTAATGACCAAAAAGGATCTGTCTTTGGACTTTTCTAGATCCTATTCTAACTTTGG